GACTTGGGACAATACCCCAACACCTTCAATGTTAAGCCCAGGATTCAGCACGGACAGTTGGGTCAATGCAGTCTCAAAGCCGTCAGTCAGAGCATCGACGCAATCTGACTCAAGGACCTGGATCCGAGCAATTAACTCCGCACGGGAATGCAAGTCTGCGACTCCTTCAGGCTCGCCGTCCACGGGCAACATTGCAGTTTTCAAATCGGCCACCTCCTTTTCCAATCGTTCTTTCTCGAGCATTCAGGAATCTCTTTCCTTATAAACTTTGGCGGTTTCTTCTTTCTCCCTCCTTAACTCATCGACTTGCACACGAAACTTTACCTCGCTCCGCTCGAGGGCACTTTTCAGCTTTTATGTCTTTGCCTGAAGAGTAACCTTCTCCGACTCCAATTCCTTCACCAATCCAGAGGAGTCAGATCTTCGCCTGCAAGGACTACGGCCATCTCCGCGACCTTCATTAAACCGACCATCCCAGAAGCCAGGTGCTTCCGTCGACCCTCATCATCGAGGCGTCTGATAATGTCAGACTCAGCATCGGACACGGTCAGAGGAAAATCATCGAAGAAATCCTTTTTCACAAAACAAGGGGGAAGGTTGAAGGCCCGGGCAGTCACCCCCTCCTCGACTGCACTTACATATCCACCTTCTGACCTTTTCTTCTTGCTCAGAACAGTCGCGGGCTGTATGGTGTCGCGGGCACCCGATGACCCACTTGAACCATCCCTGACCGGCTCCGAACCCGAGCCAAGACGTGTGGGCTGGTGCGGCTTCACCGGCCTCTTATGATTTTTCTTTTCCTGAGTGAGCTTCAGCAGTCGTTCACGACACTCCTCCATGTTACCTGCGAAAACAAAAAGGATATCCCCGAGTTAGTCTCGTTAGAAGGACAAAAACAAATATTTCAAGAAGTAAAAATGCAACGAATCACGCGAGCAGAAACCTAGAAGGTTCACGGCATGCCCGTAGGTTCGACATTCCACGAGCGCCTTGGTATTGATCGGGCGCGCCTCGAACGTCAGTTCGCCATCTTCGTCAAGAATGTCATGTCCTTCCCTCGTAACTCGAGGGAAAGAATCCGTCAACGAATCGAGTGAGGATACCATAGGACTTTTTATCCTCGGCACTCATACTACCAGGAGGGGTGTGGTAATGGCCAGAACTATGCTCGTAGTGACCCGAGCACCAGTGGATGGGGAACTTCGAAAGTCACCCGATCTCTGGATTGCCCTCCTCATCTTCATCCACTACCTGAACCGGGTCGAACACGGCATCCACGACCGCCCGAGACGATGGTTGCACAATGTACCATCTATCTTTGAAGTCACAGACAGAATTCATGTACATCCTGAACAGTCAATGGCACCATACGTCCTACAAACAGAAAGAAAGATATTAGCCAAAAACAATATGTTGAAAACGCCCTAATAATGATTAGACTTACACAAATAGCCGCCATTGTTCCTCTTGTTTAACTCCAACGTCTCCCTAGAACTCACTATACAAAATTTGTCTAAGATGTCAAGGACCTCTCTTTCCATTTTGGTGAGAAAATCATAATTTAACTAATTTACCGCCTCAGGGTCCTTCGTCCAATAAAACAGCAGTAAGTCTTTGTCGTTCTCCTCGAACATTATCATAGACCGATCATTTCTCCCTCTCACTCTCACAAACCTATGCCCAAGTGACCCGCTACCCTTGCTAACAATCTTGTCGTCGAAAGAGAAGAATAGACCCACAGTTGAAAAGGCCTCCAAATTCCTACACAAGATCTCAAACACCTTGATAAAAGCCCATCCATTGGATTATATTTGACAAGGGGCGATGTTTGATGGTTTTAAACACCTCGTGCTCAGACATTGTGAAAGGAGTAGCACCCCCAAATCCCAGATTTTAAGAAGGTACATGTAGAAGAAGTCACCCTCAGAATCATCAAAGGACGCCATGTGAGCCCTTTCGTCTTTAGAGTAGGACTCCAAGATGACGTCCTCCTCATTCCCTAAGTGCCTGACAAATTCAAGCCCTATCTGAAGGAATCCACCTTCCCTTGCTTGGTATACACCATAATATAACCTTCAATCCTCGATCTTTTGGAAGAGTTAGACGCCAACAACAAACTTGATTTTCTTGGAAAAGAAAAGGAGAAAAAGGAGTTTCTTCACAACTAGAGTCGGAGGTACTTTCGTAACTTTCAAACATCCCGATTTCCAAAAACATGTAATCAACCATCCCATCGGCTCGCCTAGCGTTTTTCACACAAGATTCTCACATCTCTGTGAACTCTCTACCAGTGGAGGGTTTAACCACGTTGCTACTCTCGACTAAATCCATGATTATTGCCATTACTAGAAAAAGGATAAGATACAGAGAAACAAGGAAGACTTAAGTGGAAGAAGAATGGAAGACACGGTCAAGCTAGGGAGAAATTTTTAAGGAAAGTTCTTGTTGAGGAGAGGCAAAAGAGTTTTGGAAGTAGCTTGAAGAAGAATGAAGCATAATCCTATTAATATGAAGAAAATTGCCTAGGTCATGTAGGCCATTAACATCTACGGTTCGATATGTTTGAATGCATATGATCAACGATTTACAAAGATCGCGCCTTCCCGAGACAAGAACCAACATACCTAAGCATTAAATGTTACACATACCCCAAGCAACACTTGAGGGACTCGCCCCAAGCAACGCTTGAGGGACTCTTAAATGGAGTTTTCAAAGGATTCATATCACAAAGACCACTCCCATTTTAAGTTAATCACTTAGCCCTACACATGTTTCGTGCTTGAGGAATTGTGGATTAGGATAGTTTTATTGGGAAAGCGACAGTATGTGCCAAAGCAGGCCAAATGAAGTGGTGGAACTCTGAGCGGGAGCACTCCGGGTCACCTGTCCGAACTAAGGTCCATATTCTACCCGTTTTATCACATGTGACATATGAGATGTCCAAGAGATAACGGTTTTTGGTGATGGCAGTCAAAGGGTAAAACCATCCCTCCAAGATTTGAGGAGTCAGTCTTCCCCTACTCCCACGTAGCTGTCAAGAAGTTAGGGAAATTGTTTCTCTCCTTGCCCGACCCAAAGAACCCTTAATAAATACTCCAACCGCAGAGCTTGGAGATTGATTGACTAATTCCATTAAACATTCATATAGAGGTTCTTGCTAACAAACATGTGTGCAGGCAGACTCTCCCTTTATTATATTTCACAAGTACACATACCTTCTAGGAATCAGTTGGCAAAAGTGTTAACAAAGAATTTACCAACAAAACGATTCAACCAATTTACTTGCAAGCTTGGCAAGTTTGTTTTTGGCAAGGACCTCTTCTTGGGCAGACTCCTTCAAAGATTTGATTTCAGCCTCTGCCTGGTCAAACTCTTCGCTCAGCTTCTAGTTGGCCTCATCCTTCTTTTTGCTCTCCTCACTCAACTTGCCCATAGAGCGCTTCGCTTTATCCCGGCTCTCATTACCGAGGTCGGTAGGGTTTGGGTCTGGTTAAGCTTCTCTTTCAAAGTGTTTAACATAGTTTTGAGACCAACCACGGGTCTATTGGACCAATTGTAGGTGCCAACCACGGGTATATTGGACCAATTGTAGGTGCCAAACATTACCCATTCTAGTAGGAGCCTCCCCAGGTGATGGGTTTCCACCAAGTGGATCGAGGCAGATGCGGTGTCCCGAATCATGTCGCAGAGAGTTTGGCATTTCTACTGGAAGCGAAGTATGTCGTTTTGGTTTGCCAAGAAGTATTGTCTTAGATAATGGTACACAATTCGTCAGCTCAACATTGATGGAGTTTTGCCACCCCTTGGAAACTAGAAAAAGTTTGTCTCAATAGTCCACTCGTAAGCCAACGGATAGGCCAAATCAACCAACAAAATGATCTTTGGTGGAATAAAGAGAAAGTTGGACGAAGCCAACGGATTATGGGCAAAACAACTACACAAGGTATAATCATTCTCGTTTATTTTATTTGATTAATTGGGTCTCACCCAGGGAGTGTGCTATCGTACTTAAACCCAGTTTCTAAAAAGGTTTTGTGGTTGTATCATTCGACGCCCCCATTCCACCACTAAGGAAATGCCATTAAAGATGGTTTATGGCGCATATGTCATGTAGCCAGTTGAGATTGACACGCCCACATGGCGGGTGAGCATTTTATATATACTAAAAAGTATTTAACCGCTCTGTGCCAACTTAATCGTATTTTCATATGTAAAGAGAACGAAACGGGGTTTAAGTGTGTGGTTGACCTGCTCGATGAAGCTAGGGAGATCGCCCACATCCATAAGTTTGTGGTCAGGCAAAGAGTTGCCATGAGGTACAACTCCAAAGTAGTCCCAAAGGACATGAAGGAGGGTGACCATATGTCCAGACAGGTGGTGGCCCCTTCCCGGATCAGAAAATTGCTCCCCAATTTGGGAAGTCCGTCTAGGTTGCACCAAAAGTTACCACATGGTGCGTATCAACCGGAAGAGTTGTTTCCAAAACTTGGAACTAAGTGAACATGAGATATTATTATAGTTCATTACTTATTACTTCTTGTTAGTCAAATAAGGTGGTGATGACATTTATTCCGCTAATGTATGGATTTTCTCCATAGACTCCACGACTAGACGTCCACGTCTATAAATACACGACTAGACGACCACGTCTATAAATACACAACTAGGAAGCTTGGTAGATTCATTCACTCTTCCACATATCAAAACCTAAAGCCCTCTTGTGCTCAACAACACAAGTAGTGTAGTATCTATTGTACTCAAAGCGAGTACAAAACATAATAATGAAAAAAAATGAAGTACCACAAATATGGAACATGTATCCAGTACAGGTACTTCATCATTTTAGAAGTACCTACACTTCAGAGATGAAGTGAGATAGCAAAATCCCCCTCCCACAAGGAATTCCATTCCACCCAGCAAGGTCAAATATATCAAAATAAAACAATTTCAAAAAGAAGGTTGCAAAATTTAACGAATACAAATCAAAGACAGTTCCTCACCTTTTTTTCCAAGACAGTGCATTTCCCAAAGTGACATCACATTTTCAAAGATAGGTTTCAAGGAAGGCCAAAAATTATTCTGAATGTCAAGGACTTCGAAAACAGTCTGCAGGCCAGATTTGGTAGGGAAACTGTTTTCCAGTTCGGGTACATGACTCTCACCCAGTAATACCTGTTCCAATAGAACCCCAGTCAGAAGCCAAAAACTATCAACAAGAAAAGTAGCTCTGATTTATTATTATTATTCATGTATAACGAACAGCAGAAGAATTTACCTTGATTACTGCAGTTGCAGAAGATGATATAGAACGAAGATTATAGCTGCAATAAAATGTATTTAAATCACCTTGGCAAAATGTAGAGCCTATAGAATACTAAACAGCTAAGAAAGGTATGAGCAACAAACCCCCCCTCAAGAATAACAAGCATTTTTCCACCAGATAGGGCATTCAACATGTGTGTCATCTGTGCATAGCCAGAGGGAGTAATCTGCACCATTGATGAAAGTCTCAATGTAAAACCCAATAGTATGCTGATTTATTATTGACATATTAGGTTGTTTTAATTTAAGTGTAGTGAATTTTTTAATCCTCAATAAAACTAAGGTTACCGTTGTTCAAAAAAATCAAACTGCGGATTAAATTCTATATATGGTGGATTGATGTAATTTATTGCTTAGTACTGCCAACGATTGTATTTCAATAAAGTTATTCACAAAAAGACCAACACAAAGATAAAGATCAAGTTAAAATTCTTACATCACAACCTCCTAGGGGATCACCTCTGGCAGCATCAAATCCTGCTGATATTATGGTAAAATCTGGAGCAAACTCAGAAGCTGAAAAGGAATGTCATTCAATATCAATGTTTCAAGCAGAGAATAGTTGCCTTTTTAAATAGAAAGGCACACAACACTCACGATCTTGACAAAAATAGAATAAAAGATTAAGAATTTCCTATCCAAGAATTTTGAGTCTTGGTCTCTACCCTCCAAGAATTCGAGAGTCTTGGTCTCTCCCTTCCAAATAACCTCTTCTAAATTTTCAGATAATCCATGTAACCTACTGTATCATCATTTTATTCACACACCCCAAATAACTACTCAAAAACCGCTACTAAATAGTTAATATTAAAAAGAGTAACTACTGATTAAAAAAGTAATTGTCCAATAGAATAGAACAGCCACATTCAGTTTTGGTTCCTAGTAATTCTTAAGGTCTAACAAACTTGAACTTGGGAGTTTGGAGGGGAGGGGAGGGGAAGGGAGGATTTCAAGGAAACGATTTTTTTTTTAAATATAGAGAAATCTTTGACATTTTTTGAAAAATAATTTTGTTTAGAATGATAAAACAATGTTTATTATTAATATATTTTAAATTTTTGGAATACTATGACAACATAAATTATATTTGAACAATTTGTCTAAGCCCCAAAACCCTCCTCCAATACAATTCTTTAGTTCCCCCAAATTAGGAGAATTTTCATTTTTAAATAAAAATAAATCCCCCAAAATCCTCCCGACCTAAATCCTTCTATATTCTTTTCACTCAAATCCTACCCTTTTTTCAAAGTCCTCCCCTCCCTTCCCCTCCAAACACCCAAACAAAGCCTAAAAGCTACGACTAGGAATAAAATAAAATAAACTTCGGTAGGCCACAATAAATACTAACCTATAGGAAGTACAACATGCTGAAATGCAAAATTGTAATCATTATCACTAACACCACCTCGACTCCATGGAATATTCACACAGTATCCTTCTGCACCCATGTAACCAACCTGAAAAGGCAAAAATGAACTTATGATTATTCTCAGTTCTCAGAATCCAAACCTGTTAGACAGCACTTCTTCTGCACCCAAGATAGCAGTGCTGCAACCAATGTGACCCAAAAGCACGTGGCAATAACAACCAAAACATTATCTGGACATGTACTATCTTCCAGCAGTTTACACATAATACTGAACTCTATTTGACCGATTCCTATCTACGAAACTCTTAAATTGTATCTACAGGACAAAGCTAAAGCACGACCCAAGCCCTTCATGTCCAGATAACCCGTGCTAAATTCCTGGATGAAATATTTATCTCTACCTGTTTTAGTTTCTTTAAAAAATCACCCCGTAAAAAATATTTCCACTAATAGTCTAATATCATACCAAAATTTGTCTGCAATCAAATACCTCATGAGCACCACCAGTACCAGGATAAAATGCTCCGCCCTCATGTCTATGCAATGAAATATACAAGACCTACAGTATTGATAATACTCATAAGGATCATTAGAATGATGAGAAAGTGGCATAGCTCATAAAAAACAACGATAGTGAAACTATTCATAAAAAAATAATAAACACCAATATGAAGAACATTAGATAACAGGTCAAGATTAGTACAATGTAAATTTAAAGGTAAAAGCAAGGAGAGCAAAATTATAATTAAATCCAGCTCACTGATTTGTTTTTCTCAAATATTTCCTGTGTGCCATTTCCGTGATGAACATCCTGCAAAGATCAAGAAGCACAATAAACTAATACTTAAACAACATAGTGAATGTCTTAGTCAACACTGCCTTCAGGAAAATTGCATAATTACAGAGATAGATGAGTAAAGACATTACCCAATCTAAAATTAGCACTTTCTTAGCCCCTGCAGCCTGAGCTGCCAATGCTGCCACCGCAGCATTATTGTGAAGACAAAACCCCATCACATCTTTTACACCGGCATGATGACCAGGAGGTCTAACCTGAGTTTAGTTAGGACCATTAATTAACTACAGTACCTTAAATTGATCGGATTTTAATGACGACTATCAATAGCAACTAAATGATTAGTACCAAAGCAAATCCGTTTTTGACACGCCCAGAAACAATTGCCGATGCCAGATCAGCACATAACCCAGCTGCAAGCCTAGCAGCACATGCTGAATGCTTGTTGGCGTATGTGTCGGAAGTGAAATAACTGAAATCATATGGGGGTCATTGATCATGATAAAGATATATTGCCAATATAAAGCAAGAGTAAGGAAATCTTAAAACTGAAGCATTTAATGAAATCCAGTAAAGAGGACCAGGGAGATCACAAACTGTATTAAAAAAAAACAATATATCTATACAAATGGGGAAAATATTTATATATAATTAAATAGAAAGACAGCTCACGAGAAAGAAATTGATTAACACACCTAGACATTAACTTGCTTGTAACTTCCACAGATTCAATATGCTCCGAAGAATGAACCTTCAATTACAATATCTTAAATGGTTAGAATTGTGTGATGATCATTGATCCAATCCAACAGTTACCTTTGTGATATATGGTTAAAGAAAGTAAAAGGAGAAAAGGACAGAAATTGAAAAGTAGTTAAAAATAAAAGCTGTCCTACCACAGCATAATCACTGAATGACAAGATGCAGCCGACAAAAATTTATTCTATAGATATTTTTGAACTGGAACTAGATTTACAACTGATACTAAAACGGTGATTATATCGGTGTTTAATAAAAGAAGGGTGTGATCCATTCATACTTTATAACATATTTAAATTAAATAAAAAAAGTCAGTTTTGCCTCAAATAATGACCCAGTATATATCATTAGCAAGTATGTCCAGCCATTGACCTACATTTGTTTGGGGATCTCCCGTTAAAAAATAGATGAAATAGGTGTCAATTACCATCATAAGTTCTTCTTGAGTGATTTCTCTAGCAGGAATTGGATAGCATCTTCCTGGAAATATACCTAAATGACTCAAATTTGACAAAATAATGCACTTGATCAATATTACTTTATCAAAGACAAATGAAAATTGGAAGGAAATCGGCAGGAGGGCTAAGTGGTAAATATTGATAGCCACAAAAATGAATAATAATAATAATAATAGCAGTTATTTGGATAGATAAATACCAGCTCTTGTAAGACTAGCAACAATTGCTCGAAGTCGATCTGGCCTTTCAGGGTGTGGATGTGATTTCTTTTCAACCTACTCAAACCAACAACCGCCAGAAAATCTATTATCATATAAACATATGTGAAATTCCTAGCAAAGAAAAACACAGATCATCATGGTGCATGCATGTGATGCATCAATGTTCAATGCTATGGTGGTGAAATTGTAGTAGTGTGTATCGTAGACCATGGACCAAGCAAACAATTTTTTTTCTGATTTAGAAAAAGCCGAAGAATAAAAGGAACAAAGCGGAATAACAGACGGTATCCATGAACAGGTTATGAGAAGACCCTGGTCGATGGCAAGTCAAAAGCTATAATATAAGTAAATAACTTTGAAACACTCGCAGAAACATGTCAGAATGATTAAATTAACAGCAAAACAAGTATAATCTTGAAACACTGAAAAACTTACTACAAAACAATTCACATACAAATTTAAAAGATCATGCAAAACAACTCACATACAAAACAATACCTTTGTCTCTTTGAGTATGTTTAAAATAGAAATTAGTTGATAGTACTCAAAATGAGTAAGGTTAATATAGGCTAAAAATATGAACAAACTTGAACTACATTTCTCAATTATGGAATCATATATTCGTAAAAGAAAATCCCTACTTTGATATATCATCAACTGAAATAACTCTGGCCATAAATGCACTACTACTATAGGGTGGGCAAGTACTGAATGTTCTTCTTTTCCGGTTCAACATTTTCAAAGCATACAAAACAAAGACATGAAAATGAAAATACAGGTATTTCATTGAAAATAAAGAAATTATCCGTGATTGGATTTTAATCAAAATGCCAATGTTTATATATGCTAATAGGCTAGTAACAAAGCATTGCAATATTTTTGAAGGAGGTCAAAAGTGAATCAACAAAACAAGCAAAACCATACTTCTGCATGTAACAACATTCTTTCATCAAAGCCAATTGCCGTAGAACTGTTTGCAGCTGATTCTTGGGAGTCAAAATCTACAAAGATAAGGGTAAAATTGAAATAAATTTGGAGTTTAATACCATGCTGAGGCAAAATCCATGTACAACCATATGAGAATGACTATCTTTAGTAAGAATAAACATGAGGATATAGACAAAAGTGACTTTGATACCAGCCTGTATGAATTTCTTTTAGTTAGCTCCATACAGATTTCTATACAAGCTAAAGGGGGGGAAAAACACTGAGCTACAAAAATGCCACTTCTGTGCATTTTGGTGCATTGCAGTATCTTCATTGTGTCTTTCAGATTTTTTTATTAATATTGCCTTAAACAGCTAGGATCCTAGGGTCAAGCATAAATATGGACTTCAATATGCTTTTAATAAGGATTTCTTCCAATACAAAGGTTTTTTTTAATATAAGGAATTAGATCAGAGTTTTCTTTATAAACAAGTGGTTTAATTCTACAAGGAAAATGGTCTTTTGAAAGCTGAGTACCAAATCTCTGTCTGTTCTTTTCTCTCCTAATTAACTTGCTGATAAATTTTAATGAATCGACATATAAGTTTAATAGTTAAAAATAAAAAAATAGATAATGAACATTCTATCCTTGACTCTGACAGCTTAAAATTAACAGTCATAATAAAGGCTGCCAATAGATGAACTTGGAAGGCAGTTTGACAAGATTCCTATAATATTACTTAAATTACCGAAACATGGTACAGAATACCCTATTGACTATAACTACATGACAGAATCATTAGCAAAATTGCATATTCACCTCTCATTACTTTCATACTTGGCTGGATCTCATTCAGATTTCCATCTTGTGCAAAGGGCGATGCAAAATGCCCCAGGGTTAGAATTTTAGAATCTTTATGCTCCCCGCATACCTGTACATAGAAGATATCATTAAATGATTTGTAATAATGATAACAGATGAATAATACCACCAAATCCAGTTCACACTCATATATCACAATTGATAACTATCCATAAAAGAATAAGATTTCCTATAAAACGTATTTAAAAAAATATATATATAGCATACAATGTGGAAAAGGTAAATTGCAAACATACTTCGCAGCAGATATCGTTGTCTAGGTTATCCATAGTACAGTTTCTACAGAACCACTTGATGACTTCAACACATTTCTCCACCGGACATGGTTCCCAATCAGTGTCCTCCTCATCATCCTCCTCGAACAACTCCTTGTTTTCATACATGTCCTTAAAAGTTAGTTCCTTCTCCACCCTGACCCTTTTCTGCAACCAAGCAAACAACAATGTCAGTCTCAGTCAAGGTTTTACAAAATAGTCGACAACGGCAACAACCCCGAGGGCTTTGATGTTTAAGCAACCACAGTCTTAACCAAACCAACTTCCATTGACAGCAATTGAAAGCTTATACATACGGCATTAGGCTGTGCCTCGCTGGCATCGGACCGCGAACTTTCGCCTCGTCCGATAAACACTTGAGCAGCTTGCTTGTGAAAACTGTTATCAGCATCCATTTTGAATGCTCCGGTAACCATGAAATAGTCAAAAACCCTAGAAATTTGAAGAAATTCGTCAATGTGAGTCAAAATTAACACATACAACAGTTCAAATTAATTGCATACATTTAATTTGGGGAAAACACTGAACAATTTTATGTGCTTATTTATCGAACTAGAGATGTAACTATAACATAGGAAAAAGAATTTAAACAGAAAAAATTGCGAGGGAGAAAGCGGTTGGAACTGAGAGTGAAATGAAAGAGAGAGAAAGTGGTTAGTGAAAAAGAGATGATGATGATGATGATGAGATTTAGCAGTAATTGAAAGTCGGAATCTTAAAAAAAAAAGAGAGTGAGAGTTACCTGTTAACGGCGGTGAGAGCGTCGGAGAGAGATTCCGGAATGCGTTGTGGCAAGTTTAGAGCTGCCTGCCACAAAACAACGTTCTTTTATACTAGTTTTTAAAAAATGGGATTTTGATTTGTTTTTGTGTTCGATGTTTAAGAACGGGATCGTAAACCAAAACTCTGTATTTATAGTACTTTACAGCCGTCAAAGTGGGTTCATATAGGCCCAATATATCAATCGCATTGAAATTAGAGATTTTATTCTGCCACCTCTCTTTCATATCTTATATTCCCCAATTTTCCATAATATTTAAAATATTTTTGTTAAATTTTTATCAAAAAATACGTTTAAAGTTAAAAATTCAATATGAAGAGAAAATTTTGGTAGTCTATTATAAGAATTTGTTATGCATTTTTATTGCATTTATAAATAAAAAACTAATGGGTGAAAAAACATGTCGATTTTTAAAATACTATGGTTTATTAGATTTTTTTCAAAATGTTGAAAAATTCAATAATATAAAACTATTGATTTTTTTTATAAGCTCGTGCATTTACCTTTTAGATGGGCTAAAAAAATTTTGGTAGTCTTATTTTCAACGGTTGTGATTGCATCGACACATTTGTGTGGTCTATAATGAATTCAAACTTTTATAAATAAGGAGCATGTGTTGTTAAAAAAGAATCTTAGAATGTCTTGATATTCATTTATGGCAGTTGTGTCCTTCAACTGTGTGAAATCTCCTAGTGATTTTTGCCTACCTGAGAACATTATCAATCTTGTTATTCTGAGATCCTTATTGGATAATCTGTTATCCCACAGCGAGAGCAGAAAGGTGGGTAAGATCGAGTTTCATGCACCATTGATTGATATTGAAGGAAATGTGAAATACATCAACATTGAGCTTGAGTTTGGTGGAGATTTTAAGGTTATATGGAGAACATATCATCGTAGAAAAATAAAAGGACAAATCGAGTTTGATGCGACAATTGCTAGATTTATCGTCGATATAATAAATGTGTTGAAATGTCCAAAATCAACTAGTAGTGTCTATGTTTTTTTAGTTATTGTTATTTTGTTAAGTTATGTAATCGTCGGTATTAAGTTATGTTAATTGTCATGTGTTAAGTTACGTTAATTGTCATGTGATGCAATAATAAAAACGATAGTGTATTATCTAATAAATTGTACATATCATATGTCATAATAATAATACAAATAATATATGAATAATACAACAAATAATAAAATCTAAATAGGCCCCTCATAGGTTATGTATGTTGCCTACGATGTCAAAGTATAAACTTTATCATATGAGTTTACCAAACTCATGCGGTTATCCATAATGATTGTTATCATTTATAAACATTGTTGGTCAGGCACAACAGTGGAGGCAGTGGAAGCAATGGCACATCATTAGAAGATCCCTCATCATCGGCATGCTCAACTGGTGGAATGATGTGAGTATGTGATACAGTAAGTGAAGGTAGAGAAAATACAAGAAATAGGGGTTTTAATTATGTTCATAGAAAACATTCTCCATTAGAAATTTTGTGCACTCAAATAATAATAACAATAAACACAATGAAGATAAAAGACACAAGTATTTTATCCAGGTTCGTTGTTAAATAGGCCACTCATATCCACACTCGCAAGAATGATTTCGCCTTATCCAAGGACTTAATCCCATATAACCAAACTGGTTACAATCGCATAGGCAACACCACTGGTGACTAACACGCAATGACATGTTTAGAGATCCAATTGGATATAATGTTCATTGACCCAATAGAATTTGATCACTCAAGATCTCCTACCAGGATTTCCTTGCAATGATATTCATCAAGGATCTCACAAGAGTCTGATCTTCACTCGATCCTCTTTGAGATATGACTACCATTGATCCAACATAATTTGATTCCTCAAAATCTCCTATTAGGATTTGCCACAATGACCAGCAGCCATTGTGTTCTTGAGATCGTACCTTCACTCAGTCTCTTAAGGAACTAATCAACAATAGTTGATGGGGTTTCTTATGTTTACATGAATGATTCTTCTAAGCAGATACACAGGTGTTTTGAGCATATATTGTTTTACACTTCTTCGAGCAACAAACCAAGTGTTAAAACAATTTACATGAAGCGATATAAACAGAAACAATACTCGGGTAACAACTTTAGTGCTCATTACAATGTTCTACAAAGATGTATATGATCAGAAGTTGAGTATCATCTTGTAGTGTTATTCTTCATCTTCTTTGTTAAGCAGGCTATGAGCAACAACTCCTTCTTAAGTGATATTCAGTGTGTATAATATTGCAGCTTTAACATCTTTAGAGTCCACTGCTTTCTTTCCACTGGATGAAGCTTGTTGGCCAATGGCAACGGTAAAATTGCTAACCAACAATTTATCTTTTAAGCTTTGATCTTCTTTTATAGCTCTTGACAAAGAGAGACATTGTGAGGATAGAACGGACTTTTTGTGCACCAACAGTTAGTTCCCAACGGATAGAATAAGGTGTAAGAGTTTAGACAGTATAAAATAATATTTTTGTATCCTGTCACTGTTCAATGATAGCTTTCAAACTTTTCCTCTGAATAATATTTTTCTATTAAGCTTGTAAACAGAGACTCGTTAAGTAAAGAAAGATAGTTATAAATCCAGTTGTTTGTTTCCAATGGTCACAATGAGAGTGGTTGTCAATACAATATAAAGGACTATCCTTATGTCATCCTATAGGGTAGAGGTCACAGACACTTTATGTACCTTTTGCACAACATCACACGTTAACCATTTTAACTTTCTTCTTATCTTGAAAGGCTTCAGATAGTTGAATGTTGAATGTTAAAGCTTTTTGTAGAAGAATCTTTTTTATGAGCCTTAGAATCTAAGTATTGGAGTCTTCATAACTTGTCACATAGAACCTTGTTCTTCAGAGTCTTCAGCACTTGGTTGTAAGAACTTCCTTTTCCTTAGATCATCAGAACTTGTTCAGCAAAACATTGTCTTCATAGTCTTCAAAGCTTGTAACACACATAAGTAAAGTTTTAGAAGGCCTCTAAAGTTAAACCACAAAGCCACGATTAGAACTTCTTGTACTGACGTTCCTAAGACACGTTACAGAAGATCAGTTCAGAACCTTGACTTTAACAAAACATGTAACCACATGTTTCTTCCAGAGTGTATGTTCAGAACCTGATGACATCACACGCCTTGTACCAGAGTCAGAACATTATAGAAGCAACTACACACTAGATGAAACTATTAGTGTATACAATTTTTCTCTAAGATAACATGTGAAGTTATCATAAAAATCTCAAGGTCATGTGTAGGAAACACTTATTGTTCTTACACTAAGGCATGTGCATGGAACTGAACATCCATTGCATGTTCTCTAATGGCACGGGCAAAGCTGACAACGTTAGCTACAAACCATCTACCAATGATGTAAACTGAAACAACAAGCACTAGTCATGGAATTTCATGGAAATACCAAAACTAGCGAAAACACCTCTCAGGTAAGTGTCTAGCCATTAAGGTCTTCCATCGTAGATAACATGAAAAAGGGAATTTCATCAAACTTCCAATGCACTATACGGTCTATATAGAGTGTCTTAATGTCATCTTCTATAGTCAGCACCAATTCTCCTCTTGTACTCCAAAAGACCATCTGGGTGTGCATGTTTGACCTTCCATTTGGGGTGTTACATAGTTGGAATCAGAGCAGATCGATTCATCGGGCCGAGGTTGTGAACTAGTGTTTGCTCTTGTATGTGACATGTGGGTAAAAGTTGTTGATACTTGTTTCTAAGTGCATGAAGTTTGAGAGTGAATTACATCTCAAGATCAAGTTGTTCATTGGTTATCAGGAGATTCATCAGTTCTCAGTGTTGGTTAACAAATGCAGGATCTACGATGAGGATAAATGGGCCAAATCTACTTACTACGAGAGTATTAGTGAGAATAGAAGCGGGAATCAGAACCGTAACAAACCTTATGGGACTCTAACTAATAAGGGAAAACATAAGTTTCAACAAAAGCCCACTGGTGGGAAAGAAGCAAGTGGGGGGCACTCTTGCTACTTTGAGATGTTTCAGATACAGAGAGTTAGGTTATCATGCTAATAAGTGCAAGAGTACAGAGCATAAGTGTTTTAAGTGCGGGAAGCCATGAAAATGTATTATTGAGTGTAAGATGTTATTATGACTTGTTACAACTATGGTGAACCTGGTCATATCAGTAACCAGTGTTAGAAGCCGAATAAAACTCAATCATGTGGAAAGGTTTTTACCTTGAATGGTGTAAAGACTTTTAGATCAGATAACTTAATTAGAGATATGTGTATCATTAATGGTGTTTCTATGATTGCTATTATTGATACTAGTGTGACACATTCATTTATATTTATTGATTGTGTTAAGTGGTTGAATTTATAAGTGTATTTTATGATTGGTAGTATGGTCAATGACACCCCAGCTAATGGTTCAGTGATTACTACGTCAGTGTGTTTGAATTATCTTATGATAATTTATGGTAAAGACTTCAGAGTTGACTTGATATGTTTTCCTTTGAGACAACTCGGTGTGATTTTGGGAACAAATTGGCTAGAGTTCAAACGTGTTTATTTTAACTATTTCGATAAGACTATGTTCTTTCTCGAACCCGAAGAGAGCACATATTCAAGATTCATGTTCATCGGTCAGGTTGAGATGTCTTTAAGGGGGAAATATTAAGTGCTCATGATGTTCGTTTCCTTGATAGTGGAAAGTCATGTTGGGGCTAGTGATATGCCTATTTTGTTTAAGTTTTATGATATTTTTCTTGAAGATATTTATGACTTGCCTCCGGAGTAAGAAGTTGAGTTTACCATAGACTTAGTAATTGGTATTAGTCTTGTGTTAATAGAACCATGTTGTATGAGTGCGTCAGAGTTAGGGGAGCTGAAGAAACAATTAGAAGATCAGTTAGAGAAGAAGTTTATCAAAACTAGTGTTTCGACGTGAGAGTGCTAATGTTATTGGTAAAGAAGAAAGATGGAAGTATGAGGTTATATGTTGATTATATATGGTTGAATAAGGTTACAATCAAGAACATGTATCCTCTTCATAGAATCAATGACCTTATAGATCAGTTGGTTGGTGCATGTATGTTTAGTAAAATTGACTTGAGATCGAGTTATCATCAGATTTGAGTAAAGTCATAATATATTCTGAAGATTGCATTTAGAATTCGATACGGTCATTATGAGTACTTAGTGATATTGTTTGGTGTCTCTAATGTGCCAAGTGTGTTAATGGAGTAGATGAAATAGATTTTCCATCCTTACTTGGATAATTTTGTTATTGTGTTCATCAACGACTTTTTGGTGTATTATGATAACACTGAATCGCACTGCATATTTGACTCGATTCACACATTTTTATTAGGTTTTTATTGTTATTTTATTGTGTTATGTTTGCATTTTGTTTTGTTTTCAGTTTTTTTGTCTTTCCTAAGTCTTGCTTGAAGAAATGAAGAAAAACAAGCTAAAAATCAAGATTTTTGAGTTTTTGCACTCGTGGCTTCCACCATGGTGCCCGCCATAAGGTCAACCATGAGGTGGCCAACTTCAACCAACTACCAACTGCCATGTTCTCCATTACTTATTCATTTTTGGAGCATGGCGACCGCCACACCCCCATGGCGGGCGCCACCTTTGCAAGTTCGATTCCCGCTCAAAAGAAGTTGGGAGGGCATTCTTGTGATTCCCCAAATCCTCCCAGGCCTATAAA